CTTAAGTTTTCTGGTATCGAAACTATAAACTGTCTTTGCTCCGCCTTCGTGAATAAAAACAGTACCGTGACGTTGTCACCGTCCAATCCGATGAATCGGACATAGGGTTTCCCCCGGTGCTCGAAGAGGGGCCGAAAAAAGAAGCCATCATCACATCTTAAAAAAACTGAGCTTTTATAGTTCACCGTGATGCGACCCCAAGTACTGTTAAGCTGTACTCCTAAGAGCAGCACGTGCTAATTAACCACCAACCGAACCGAGATGGAGAAAAGTAACCACGGGCGACTGAGATTAAAAATAGCAGCGTACATCCCCAACGATAAAACTGACGACACAACACACACACAAAACGGACCCATTTCCCGCGGCGCCTGCAGCTCGCGCCATCCATCATCCACGGGCACGCCGCGCGCGACATCGCCTCCCCCCTTTCCTCTCCTCGCCTCCCTCGCAAAACCGCCCTCCCCCGAATCTAGCCAGACAGCCAGCCACGCCCACGCGCCAGCCAGCCACCGGACATCCCTCCTCCCATCTCTCTCGCGCGCGCGGGGGCGCGAGGTCGGACGGACGGACGGACGGACGGCCGGCGTTCCCTTCCCTCCCTCCCTCTCTCTGCCCGCCTGACCTCGGCCGGCCCGCGTGCGTCGGCGTACGTGCGTGCGTAATGCGGTGGTGACTGGCGGCGATGAGCGCGTGATGGCGCCGCCGTTCCTCAAGACCGGGCACGGCCGCGACTCCAGGTTCTCCTTCAGGCGGCGCAAGTCGGGCAAGGCGTCGTCGACGCCCTCGTCGCCGCTCTCGTCGGTGTCGTCCTCGGCGTCGTCGGAGGACGTGGTCCTCGACCCTGGGAGCCCGACGATGGAGCCGTCGACCAAGACCCAGACGCTGCCGTGCGCCAGGCGGATGCTCTCCCGGAGCAGCTGCGGGTCCAGGGGCAAGCTGTCGGTCGACCTCATCCCGGCGCCGCTCGCCGGCGGCCCGTCCGACGCGCCCAGGCCCTCCACCTCGGCCGCGCCGCCCCCCAAGCCCGCGCCCCGGCCGGAGGGCCCGCCATCAGGTGCGTGCGTGCGTGATCACTGTTGATTTCTAGCTAGCGTGGTCGATCAATGCGGCCTTGTTCGATCGACGAATGAATTGCTCCGGTGGTGGTCGATCGGTTGCAGACATGGACATGGTGAAGGAGAAGTTCTCCAAGCTGCTGCTGGGGGAGGACATGTCCGGCAGCGGCAAAGGAGTCTCCTCGGCTCTTGCTCTGTCCAATGCCATCACCAATCTTGCAGGTAATCACTCCCTTTTCTTTCCAATATATGTTTCCATTTTTGTGCCATCACCAATCTAGCAGCTAATCACTCAATTTCGTATCAAATCTTTCCCTTTCCATTTCGTGAATGGTGTCCACGGCTGGCCCTGCTAGTGCGAGCTAAATTAAAGCAATTTTTGGTGTGTCAAAAAATCGGTCTAATAAATGAGAGTACATCACCCAATGTGCACAATGTGCATAACCTGGCCTACTAGTATATACTCTACTTGTCACTACAAATTCCAAACAAAAGTAATGGCTTAAATGATTTTAATCCTCAAAATAATTTAGTGGAAATTGGTGAAAACATCCTCTCTTTTTTTGCGGATGAGAAAACAACCTTTTTGTACAGCATACAATCGTAGACCTCGCAATGGGTACATGCACGACTAAATCGGGAGCTCTATCACGTGCTTGATGCATGATTTCTGGATTTCAAATCATTTCAATTCGTGGTTGGTTTCTTGTGGAAATTCTTACCAGTTATGTATTCCTTCTCGTGGTGGCACGCCGTTGCAGCTTCCGTGTTCGGTGAGCAGCGGCGTCTCCAACCGATGGCCCCTGAGCAGAAGGCTCGGTGGACAAAGGAGATCGACTGGCTTCTCTCCGTCGCCGATTTCATCGTCGAGTTCGTTCCTTCACGCCAGGTGGCCGAGGATGGCAGCACCATGGAGGTCAGAAACGAGTCCCCTACCCTTATTTTCATCACACATGGTTGGTTATGTTGCTTTGGAGGTCCTACAAAGAAAAAATATTTTGTTATTATATTTCAGTTTTTTTTTGTGGGAAAAGTATTTCAGTTGCACAACTAGTGAAGAAGTACAATGTGGGACGTGCCTATTGGAACCTTATAGGCGGTCACACTTTTTTTTGCCTTGCTTAGGGCCCGTACTATGCAACCTCATTATGCAAATCGAATTACAACTAATTACAATAGTACATTTTTATTCTTTTTGACAAGCAGGTTATGATAACTCAGCAACGCAGAGATCTGCTGATGAACGTCCCGGCATTGCGCAAGCTTGACGGAATGCTCCTTGTAATATAAAATTCCACACCCTTCTCTGAATTGTTTACGGGGTTGATGTGAAGATACCTGAGTTGCTAATTTGTTACCGTTGCACATTTCTGATGCCGAACAGGACTATCTCGATAGTTTCAGCGACAAGCAGGAGTTTTGGTATGTGAAGAAAAATGACAATGAATCTGAGAAGGGCGACGCGGCAGAGCAGAGTGACAAGTGGTGGCTCCCGACGGTCAAGGTCCCTCCCGAGGGTCTGTCAGACTCGACGAGGAGATGGCTTCATCACCAGAAGGAGCTTGTCAACCAAGTCTTGAAGGCAACAATGGCCATCAATGCTAATGTTCTCATGGAGATGGATATTCCAGAAGCTTACATGGAGACTCTGCCTAAGGTAATCCATAAGAACACAAGGACGTTATTATACGACAATTACATTTACCTTGCTTGACTACATTATTGTGATCTCACATGACAAAATCCTCTTATTCTTATGCTTGGTAGAACGGGAAATCTACCCTCGGGGACTCGATGTACAAGCTTATAACCGACGATTATTTCGACCCCGAAGAACTCATAGCAACGGTAGACCTGTCGAACGAGTACAACATTGTTGATCTGAAGAACCGGATCGAAGCATCGGTCGTCATTTGGCAAAAGAAAATGCAGAGGGACGGCAAGTGGGGCCATGGCGTCAGCCACGAGAAGCGGGGTCGATTCGAGGGGAGGGCAGAGAACGTTCTTCTCCTCCTCAAGCACAGATTTCCAGGGATTTCCCAATCAGCTCTGGACATCAGCAAAATCCAGTACAACAGGGTACCTACAATTTTTCACTGTGTTTTCGGAATTGCTACAGTACCCTTTTAATTACTAATGCCAACTACATACATTTGTGTTCCCGTGTTGTTTTCGCAGGATGTTGGGAGTGCCATTCTGGAGAGCTACTCAAGGACGCTCGAGAGCCTAGCCTACACCGTAATGTCCCGCATCGAAGACGTTCTCCACGCCGACGCCCTCGCCCAAGACCCCAAGAATGGGGACTCAATGAGGATGCCGAGCTTAACAACCGACGACACAGACACAGTGGTCCAAGACGCCAAGGACGAGATGGGGAGGCTGGGAAGGATGGAGCCGGTTAACTCGACATTGTTCGACTACGTGGGGCCCCGGGACGGCACCATCGAGACCATGATACTAGGGTCGCAGGATCCCCAAGGTAAGAAGCTGAGCAAGATCTCGAAGATCGGCACCAAGAGGTACTCCTACCTGGACAAGCTTGAGAACCTGGGCGGAGCACGGAGCCCCATATCTAGACACTAGTGGCGCGCTGCCGTAGGGGGTCGCAGGGGTGGCGGGGAGGTGGGGTGGGGGAAGACATATGTGCCGGATCATTCGGAGTGAAATGGATGTAAATATGTGTTCAGAGCATTGTGATCAAGGTGCAGAGCTGTGTGGGTGTACCACTGTGACTTGTGAGGTTTATGTAAGCTTTTGGACACCTGTCTGTATCTCCATTGTGTTGGACCCCCAATGGAAATTTGGTGCAGAGGCCAATATGATGTGCTGCTGATGTGTGACCCCCCCTGATCTACAAGAACTAACTAAATAATCATGAGATTTTTCACACTGAGCCTGAGAAATGGACATGTAGTTTTCTAGCCCACTTCTAGTACTCCTAGCTAACCTTGACCTCTTCCGGACCCTGTTTTCCATGCAATGTTTGTTAAGCGTAGCCTTTCCAGTGTCTTGTACTAGGAGTGTTATGATGGCAGTTGGATTTTTGCATAAATCGCCGACGCAATGTATGATTGATGGTATTTATAAGACATTAACCAAACAAGTGGGTTAAGATCTAATTTCCCGCCGGCAGCAGCAGCAACTGTTAGTAAGTACTCCCTCAGTCCCGAATTATTTGTCGCAAAAATGGATACTCCCTCCATTCTGAATTACTTGTCTTGGAAATGGATGTATCTAGAACTAAAATACGTCTAGATACATCCATTTGTGCGACAAGTAATTCCGAACAGAGGGAGTAGTAGTTTCGACGGACGGAGGGAGTATGTAGGTGTGCAGCTGTGCACGTAGAGCCGTGAGTAGGCCGGCCGGACAATACGTATTGGCTAGAGTGACATAAACCAAAGGGGGAGAACTATAGATCGGCACTGTACCCTCTAGACAAGTAGAGTAATTTAAATCGCCAGTATGGCCTAAACATGGTACAAAAACCAGTACGTAGCAATCATCAAAGAGCAAATGATCTACAGTAATTGCATGCATCATGCATGCAGCATCTTTCCAATTACTGATACGAAGTACAACGATCAAGTATCAACAGAAGCATAGATAGAGGGGAATCCATCAGATCCATGGTACACAAGCACGAGCCGAGCCGAGGCGAGGCGAGGCGAGAGGAGGAAGAAGGCTTTGATTGCAGATCTACTTAGATCTTGCCGCGTGGTCCCGGGGTGGGCGGCAGCTGGGGCCCCTTCTTGATGGGGAGCAGGTCGGGGGAGGCGGTGGCGCTGACGTAGGCGAGCAGCGAGCCGCCGCCGAGCAGCAGGACCTTGAGCAGCAGCCCGCGCTTGGTGAAGGGCGCGGCGAAGGTGTTGAAGAACTTGCTCTGCAGGCCGTTGTAGGGCGACGCGGCGTCGCTGCCGTACAGGTCCCACTGCCCCGTCGTGTTGGCGATGTCGTCCAGGTCGAAGTAGACGCTCTTCTCCCCGTACTTGGCCACCACCGCCGCCCCGCGAGCCCTGCCGCCGCGTTAATTGATCAGTTATATATACGTGCGCTCTCTTGCTCGCTCGACGGTGTGTTGATTGACATGTGCGTAAGTACCTGCGGGTGGAGCGGGAGACGGCGGCGGAGGCGGGCCGGACGGCGAGCTTGCGGCCGGAGATGGAGCTGCCGGCCAGGCCCCTCACGGCGACCGGCTGGACGGCGACGAGCGACGCCATTGGGAGGCTGTACAGTACAGAGGATGTGTGGTGGCCTGACCTTCTTCCTTCTGCTGCCGGTACGTAGTACGTGCACAGACTTGGCTCGGTGGATGGATCGATCCTGTTAAGGATTTGAAACGGCTGGCCGTCGATGAGGTTTGTGTGGGAGAGGCTGCGCGCGGCGGAGGCCCATAGGGAGGGCGCCACGCGGCCGCTTCCGGATAGGGCTATCCTGATTCCCTGACCCGGTGGCGAGGTGACATGGCGCCCGGGGAGGAGATCTCGCCGTCCGTTCGGGAGCGCCGCTGATAAGATCGCTCGTACAGATACTGTGGGCCCACGAGGCTTGCTAGGACAGCACGTTCCTGGGCACGGGCACGGATCATCTTTGCTGACGAAAATTAAAGAGAGATCCATAAGGAGGTGGCGATGTTGCATGCACGTACAGACCATGCATGCACGGATGCACCGAGCGTGGCACGCGACGTAGTACTAGTACTCGAG